ATAAATCCCCTTTTGCCAATTGCATGGAGTAAGTCTCTTGCGTGGTCTCTCCCTCTGACGCTCCGCCGGACCCCTCTTACACCCCTAATTGTTCCCTGATTTCATCTCTCTCTGGTCTTGGCTGTTCTACAAGTGACCTAAAAAAAGAAACACTGATCAAATTGCTTCACTGGTATGAAACCTATCAATGGTTTTCCACTCCTGTGAGTTTGATCTCTGGCCTATGTGAGGATGGCCTAAGGTCTGAGCCCAAGCAAYTCCATTTTAAAAACTCCAGTTTGAAAACTGCTGTCTCACCATGCATGCCTAATGGAGAGACCACCAGTATGGCCCTCAGGCACAAACAAGTCACTTCTCCTCACCCTGATAAACTCAGATTGAAGCCTCTGGCAGGCTGTTCATGCCTGCCCAGGGAAAAGCACCCCAAAAGAGAGAAAGGCAAAAAGATCAGGGTGAGGACCACTACATCAGATGGTTTAACCCCAGAGTAAATGATGTCACTGAGAGATGGTGGCAGCTGATAAGGATTAAAAAGGGGGACAAAAGCTCCAAATTTGGTATAAATAACAGAGCAAATGAACAGATATTCAGCCAGCCAACACTGATGCCCTCACGCTGAGAGCCTGATGAGGACCTGAACTGGCATCCCAACACTTTTTATTGTTGCTGATCCTCTGCATCTTCCTCACCACTCTTAAACTCTATAGCCACATCTTGACCCTGGTGACAGCCACAACTTCTCCCTATGACCCTCTCCTCAACCAGCCATCAGCTCCACCTCAGGAGAAGCCTGCCTTGGTTCCTGACCTGATCACTCTGGTCAGAGTGAGTGTGCATCTGCTGGACTTAAAGCCTAAGGCTTGMGACTTTTGATCTGACACGCAGAGGGAATGTCTGTCATTAGCCTGTCATAATTGTTTGCAGTGCTTAGAATTAATCTAGAATGGTTTGCTGGGAATCAATCTARAATTGTTTGTTGTGAATTGATTATGTTGTTGCAGTGTCTAACATTAAGGGTTGTCGTTTTCTTGATTAAGAACCTATAGAGTGAAATTGTATTGAGTGATTTGAGTGAATAAAGCATTGACTAGGGCACAAGTGCGTGGACATTCTTTATTTCTCCCCGTGGACTGCAAAAGTCACACCTTTTGCCCATTTCGACAGCCTGCCACACAGACTTTTGGTTATATGGCTGCTTTCTACCATCAATATTGAACCCAAATGCTTGTAGTTCCAGAAAATGCCATGACTCTTGCAATGTTTTCACCCCCCTAGTGAAGCCAGAATTAGACAGGCAGTCAGTATAGATAGGTAAATCGAGTCAGGTCAGATCAARGAGGCCAAGTTTGAGTGATTCTGGGAAATTGGAGACTGTCCCCTGAGGGATTGAATGTTAATTCCTTCAGAACCCTTCCTCCACCCTTATCAAGAACCTGCCCCTGGGCTGGGGATGTGGCTCAAGTGGTAGTGCTCGCCTGGCATGCTTGCTGCATGGTTGGATCCTCAGCACCACATACAGACAAAGATGCTGTGTCCGCCAAATACTGAAAAATAAGTATTAAAGTTCTCTCTCTCTCTCCCTCTTTCTCACTCTCTCTCACTCTTTTTAAAAAAAAAAAAAAAAGAATCTGCCCCTGCCCTAACCTGTTGCTAAAGTAACTTATCCAGGGGAGCTATAAGATTGTTAATTAATGTGTCCTTGGCTGCTCCACCCTGCCCTTCCCCCTTCAGCCCACCTGTTTCCCACCTTTTGGCTACCCCACCAACCATTCCTGGGCTTAGTCATCACATACCCGGAAGGAGAAAGAGAAGAGGAAGTGAGCAGGAGAACAAAGGAAGTCTAGGACATATAAAAAGGGCAGAATGCCTCCCTTCTTGGGATACCTTCTCCCTCCTAGGAGAAGTCTGTTATCCCTGGTTTTTTTTTGGTACAGGGGACTGAACTCAGGGTTACTCGACACTGAACCACATCCCCAGCCCCCGCCTTTAAATTTACAGATATGGTCTCACTGAGTTGCTTAGTGTCACAACATTGCTGAGGGTGGCTTTGAACTCATGATCCTCCTGCTTCAACCTCCCAAGTTGCTGGGATTACAGGAATGTGGCACCATGCCCAGCTCTGTTACCATATGTGTGTGTGTATATATAAAGTTGTTGATTGACCTTTATTTATTTATTTATTTATATGTGGTGCTGAGAATTGAACCCAGTGCCTCACACATGCCAGGCAAGTGCACTACCACTGAGCCATAGCCCCAGACCTTCTGTTACCCCTTTTTAAATAAACCCTGCTTTATATGCTTGCCTCAGCATGCTTCTCTAATGTTCAAAGTTCAATATGTGAGGGAACTCCACCTATAACTGGTGGTATCACTAGGATACCCTTTCCCCCTAAGCCTTTCAAACCTCTACACAGACACGACCTCTTCCTGGAATTTCTGCTTGATGTTGCTGCCCCCAAGTTAAATGTCCCTTTTTTGGGGCCCTCCATGGCACCTTTGTAACAGTACTCACCATAATGTACTGTAATTGTTGGTTTGGAGATCTAGCTCCCCTAGAAGGTGCTCAGAAAACATTTGATGAAGGCTGGGGATGTGGTTCAGTGTTAAAGCGCTTGACCATAAAGGAAAAAAGAAACCATCTGACGATTAAATGATGGAGTAAACGCTGCGTTACTATACTATGCCAGCCTTTAGAAAGAGCATTTGAGCACAGGCAGTCTACCTTCAGGAGCCTAGAGCCTTGAACGCCCCCGCACTACAAGGCCAAGTCCTCTCTGGGATTCCCCCGCCGGCCGCTGGGGGCGCTGTGCAGGCGGCGCCCAGCTCTCCTCCGCCGGAACTCGTCTTTCGGGGGAAGCTGGAGGACGGGGGCGGAGCCCACGAAGTCTACTTCCACCCGCGGAAGAGGGAGGTCTGTGGTGGTGCTGCGGCTGCCCTGTTTTCTGCCAGCTGGGAGGGGCCGGGTAGGGGTTCTGCTGGAGCCCTAGGAGGTACGGAGCTGGGAGGCGGGGTTCGTCCTGCGTGGATAATGTCCTCTGCTCTTCGGCCGCTTTAGGAGATCTATCTCTGCCTCTTTTTCCCTTTGCAAGCCTTCCTGCCTGGGGAACTCTCTGGCGGAGACAGACCCCTCTGGCAGTCTCTCTTGGGTATCCCTTAATTGCAGGACTCGTTGTGTGGGAGGGTGTTTATGTCAGTAGCTTCCTCTGGAGAGGTTTGTTTGGGACCCTCTAAGGGAGTAGTCTCTGGATCTCTGCTCTCTGGGCGATCTTTGGAACTCCTGGGGGATTCAGTGTTTGGAAGTTTCCTTCTGGGGCCTCTTCGGAGAAAGGATGTCTGAGTCTGTGTCTTCTGAGTAGGGCTGTCCTGAATCCCCAAAGCTTTGCATTCAGTTCCAAACTTGGATTTTCGGTTATTGGGAGGTCTGCCCTGTTTTGAACCTCTCTTTCCTCACCTCACTCAGGATGCTTCTGTTCCTCTAGGTGGAAGGTTAAGCATGGGGAAGAGCTGCAAGGTGGTCGTGTGTGGTCAGGCATCCGTGGGTAAAACTTCAATCCTAGAACAGCTCCTGTACGGGAACCATGTAGTGGGTGAGTGTTGATGGGGCTTAGGTAATGGTGGAAAATGTTGAAAAATAAGAGGATTTGATTAAAACACGCAGAGGCTAAAAGCTGCCCCAATGGTTTTTGCATTCTGAAGGGTAAAACTAACATCATAATCCCTAGTTCTACAACACTGAACAAATGTTGGAGGGAAGAATCCCAATATCCAAGATAGGAAGGAAAAACTCCTGTGTCACACTTTGCTTAGTACGATACACATGTCTGTTCCCCAAAATCATTCCAGTCTTGCCAGACTCTCTTTAGTTCCCACATTACTTCCTCTCCCTGTCTGGTCAGCCTGTCAGGATGTCATCATCACTCACATTTCCCATCTCCCTTCCCATCAGATCTTCTCATTTTATCCTAGGTTCTGAGATGATTGAAACCCAGGAAGATATCTATGTAGGCTCTATTGAGACAGATCGGGGAGTGCGGGAGCAGGTGCGTTTCTACGACACCCGGGGGCTTCGAGATGGGGCTGAGCTGCCCCGGCACTGCTTCTCCTGCACGGATGGCTATGTCCTGGTCTACAGCACAGATAGCCGAGAGTCCTTTCAGCGTGTGGAGCTACTCAAGAAGGAGATTGACAAATCTAAGGATAAGAAGGAGGTGTGTGGCCCAGGCTTCCTTGGAAACCCCAGTGGTGGGAGAGTATGGGCCCTGGACTGGCTTTAGGAGGCCTGTCGTGGCTCCATTTTTCACTCATTTGCCAAGAGGTAGGTTATGAGCTAGAAAGTCACTGAAGGGTGTTACCTCCAGGGGTGGCCACATGTTGAGACAACTTAACCAAAGAAACTTCTGTCTAAGGAATCCCTGACCTAAATCATGAAGCTCCTGCAATCTTCCTGGTAATTTCATGCTCTTACTTTAATTCCCCAAAACCTTCCTCTAAGCTGCAAGCCTGGGATTGCTTCTCACCAATTGTTTCTCCAGAAACTGACAGCCCAACAACTGCACCTGTATACCCACAGGCTTCTGTTCTTTCTCTCTTTCCAGGTCACCATTGTGGTCCTGGGCAACAAATGTGACCTACAGGAACAGCGGCGTGTAGACCCAGATGTGGCTCAGCATTGGGCCAAGTCAGAGAAGGTGAAGCTGTGGGAGGTATCAGTGGCTGACCGCCGCTCCCTCCTGGAGCCCTTTGTCTACCTGGCCAGCAAAATGACCCAGCCCCAGAGCAAGTCTGCCTTCCCCCTCAGCCGCAAGAACAAGGGCAGTGGCTCCTTGGATGGCTGAAGAGCTACCATTCCTTCTTCACCCTCCCAACCCTGTTCCAGCTTCTGGAACTCTAGAGGATAGGCTAAGCATAAGGCGGCTATGTAGGCAATCTGTCCTTCCCAGTCAGCAGAGGGAGCAACCCACTAGCCTAGGCATCTGGGCTATCTCAGGCCCATGCCACTTCTCTCTCTGAACTCTTAAGAAATGCAGATAATATTGATTAGTGCCCTCTTCCCATACTCTCCCTCCTTACCTCCCAACTTACKACAGATTTTTCTCCACTGTTGCCTAGAGTTGTGGGTCAGCATCCCTTCTATCTGCCCTGGACAGGAAATAGAGCTATCATACTGAAAGTGCCCAATTTAGGATTTGGGTCCTATTATAGGGTCCCAACTTCCTGAGCTTCCTGCCAGTAACAGACATACACACACACTTTCTCTCTCTCTCTCTCTCTCTCACTCTCACTCTTAAGGCACTATCTTGGACTTTGAGAATGGGTATCCAGGTATTGTATGCGTGGTGTACTTGTGCTTACTTGTATTAGTATTAGGAGAAGCCCCATCCCTCACCTAACCTTTTTCCTGGCCTATCCTTGGCTGGAAGAGGCTAGTCACCTAGGAGTATTGTTTTCTGTATGAATTCTTCCCCTGCTCCCAATTGTTTCACTTCCTCTTCCTGTTTGGAGAGCAGATGGGCCTCTTTGGTTGAGGTTGAATGGAGAGATGACTGGGCTAAGCAGCAAGCTATGACCCAGCAAGGTCATTCCCCTCTAGGTGTTGATTTTCTCATCTGTAAGTGATAGGAGTTGCTTAGACGATCTACATCCTTTCCAGCTGGATGACTTTCTAAAGCCAGAGGCTTGAGCCACCTGTGACTGGCCCCCTTGCTTCTCYCTCTTCAAGGTGCTATGTCTGCCAGCCCTGGAGGCTGGACATGTCTCTTCCTCCAACCACCAGGGGGCAGGAGTACACTCCACACTCAGTGCCCAATCTATCCACCTGTCCTTGAGGGCTGGTCTTCATCYCTTCCTCTGGTTGTTTTCAGCTAGTAGCTGGACTATTTATATCACCTATATTTATATGCTTGCTGCMATGGTGAAGGCCGGACAAGGTGCTTCTCTAGCCCTTCTTACCTCAGATGTCTGAACAGAACCAGGCAAATCACTAGCAGCTTCCTAGGAGCTCCCAGGTCTTTCGTTGGGGCTCGGAAGRGTAGCTACTCACGCAGATGTGCTATCAAGTGAGCTTAAAACCTCCAACCTTCCAGTGCCCTCTTCATGCTTCTGGTGTGCACACTAATAGGTGAGACACTAGCCAGGTGTCCTCCAGTACATGCCCCTTCTCCCCAGAATGGGAGAGGTAAGCAGGGGCAGATGTCCTGGGTTGGGCAAGGAGAGGGCATCTACAGGCTCAGGCTCAAAGTTCATTTATTGATATGTTGGACACAATAAAACCACAATTGCTATTATCAAAAAGTTTCCTCCCCTCCCCTTTTTTTCTTGTTCTCCCATTGGAAATACCTTTCAAAAAAGATACAGGTGGACACTGGCAAAGTCCCATATTGTGGGATGAGGGGACAGTGCTGGGGTCGGGTGGATAGGATTTGACACTGACTGGCAGCCCAGAAGTGGGTCTGTGAGAGTATCAGACTACATCCCAGCATTCAGCTTTACAGTGGGAGGGGTGCTTGGGAAGAAGGAAAGCTGAACTTAGTGCTGAGGACYAGTCTGGGGTGGGGAACTATTCATGTTGGAGCCCTGGGGGTGTGGGGGGGCAGATTTGGTGTTAGCTGAATCCATAGTCCAAGGGGGACCCAGTGTCCCCCAGAGCTGGGGTCCAGAAGTCAGAAGGGAAAGCTGTATGGGATGGCTCACTTGAGTCTGGACACACAGTTCCACCTTGACCTACTCTTATCCTAGCCTCATCTGAAAGCAGGTGGGCCTGCCCTGGCTCTACTCCACCCTAGCACTGCTTGATCCAGAGTATTTGGAGTTCTTTCTCCTCTGTGGTTCTCTACACATCCCAGAGTCACCTTGTCATGAAAGCCTTGAACTCTCCAGCTTGAGACCCCATCCCTATTTCCAGTGATTTCTCCAAAGCATGGGGTAGAGGTCAGAGACTTGTCCGCAGGCCWGGCGAGGCTGCTTATGGGAGCTCAGATGTCCAGAGCCTGGCCATGTGGGTATAGGTCTCGGGGAAATGACAGCACCACGAGGCTGGGGTTCTGCATAGATCTTTGGGATTTATCAGGCTGGGAAATGCAGGTGAGCCTAGGACTAGCCTTGGAAGGACCTGAAAAGGAGGGTGAGGGCTGGACGGACACCTGGTGAATCCCAGTCCAGATGGAGCAAAGGTAGCTGCCCTTAACTAGCCCAGTTCTTCCTAGACTGGGCAGGACCCCCCCTCCCCCAAGTTGTAAAAGGCAGTCCTGTGGGATGCAGGAAACGGAGGTGTCTTGGGGGAGACAGTAATGGCTGTTTGGGAATCAGCCTTGGCCTCCTCAGTAGAGCTAATAGGGGGCAAAGACAATGGGTCCCGTGGCAGGGCGGATGGCTCCTGCTGGAGTGCGAAAAAGAGCTGGGCCCAGGATGGGAGCTGGGAAGAGGGTAGCGGCTGCTGTGGGGGCAGGCCGGAGGGCCAGGGGTCCTGGCAGGGTACAGATGGCAGCRGCAGCAGTGGGCAGTGGGCTGGGCAGGAAGCGGGCCGCCAGCGTCTTGGTGAGTTGCTTCTGCAAGGCCAGTTTAGACTACAAAGAAACGAGAGAGGAGTGATGGGCCTCTGACCCCCAAAGAGCTCACCCCCTGTCTGGGCCCCATTTTGTGGGCTTTTTGCCTCATGGAGCGTGCTTTTTAGAGTTCCAAACCTAAATCCTCCTCCCTTCCCACTCCCAAATAGTCATTCCAAAGGGCTTTCTCCACCACCTGTCTTCCTGCCCAGAGGGAGGACAACCCCAGGATGGGAGAAGGGAGGAGGCTGTGGGGGATGGGGTAGAGATGRTCTCTAGGAGATGCACGCCCACCCCTCACTCTTGCCCCAAAGGTTACAATCCCAGCCCACCTCCCCGGAAATTCCTGTGGGCAGATCCCTGGATGGCCAAAGCTCTCCCCCTGCTCAGACAGCCTCAGAGAGAGGTGGCCTCCTTCCTGCCATACCACCAAGCCCCCCAGCTGGCCCTCCCTTCCACCCACTCTCTCCCTCCTGACCCAGGTCCCAGCTCTGTTGCCTGGAGACAGATACCTTGAGGATACTCACAGCCAGCGCTGCGTGCTTCTGCAGCTTGCTGTGCTGGCTGGAGGGCTTTGGGGGCTTCCCAGCCAAGCGGTCTTTATGCCTCCTGCTGCTCATGTGCTAGTGGACAGATGCAAAGACTGTGAACAAAATAAGGAAGCCCAAGGACCCCAAAACTACTCCATTACCTTCAACTGCCTGACCTTCCACTACCCGCAACCACACTTTGAATACACAGGTACTGGGAACTCACCACGGTGGCCCTGGGAGCAAGGCAGGCTTGGCGTCAAGGAGCCCACCCCAGCTCCTTAGCCCTCCCTGCGACTGCCTGCTTCTGCGGGTGCCCTCCTGCCTTGCTTGCCCACCCTCTCACCAGCTCCACCCCCAATCAAAGACTCCTTTCTCCCACCTGCTTGAGCTGGGTCTCTGAATTGACCTGGAGCTGACAGAGAGCACAGTGGAAAGGGGGACTAGGGCCCTGCCGGCCACCCTGACCCCCTGTCACTCTCTTGGCCTTGTGTCCAGCCCCTCCCCGGGATACTGGGCGGCCCCGGCCCTTTCGGGGGGTCCCTCGTTGACCTTCCACCATCCACCGGTGCTTGGCTCCTGGAGGAAATAAGGAAGAAGACAGTCTGTCAGTACTCAGGGGGTCTCAAGGACCACGGGGACCCCCTCCAAACCAGGTTAGCTGGGCTGTCCCTTGAAGCCTCCAGGCTACTCAGCACACACTTTGCCCTCCAGCCTCCTAGACTTCACCTCTTGGTGTCTCTGGCTTCGTGCCAGGCACCCCCAAAGAAAGCTTTGTGGGCAACTGGTCAGGTTCCCTTCTGCTCTGATCCCAACCCCTCCTGATCTTTTTTTTTTTTTTTTAATATTTATTTACTTTTAGTTATAGGTAGACACAATATCTTCATTTCCCTCCTGATCTGTTCTAAGGAGAGATGGAGGAAATGGGAGGAGGTGCCTCCTGTCTTCTGGAGTCTGGAGTAACTTCAGAGATTGTGACCTTCAATTCTTGCTGCCTCAGACTTCTCTTCCCAGTTCTCCCTCCCCAGGGATTAGCAGGAGGACCCAGAAATGCCTGCCCAGTAACAGCTGAGCACAGTACTTTTGTCACCTGGAGCTGGAAGAGAGTGCCCAGGAGCTCAAGCCTGCCCACACCTGGTGAGGCTCAGCCTTCCAGCCTTCCCCAACTCCAGCTCCTTGGGGGCACTGACCTGTGTTGTGAGCTTGAAGCTGGGAGGTCGAGTTCACTGTCACCTTACATGTGGGACAGTAGAGGCGCCCCTTTTCGCTCCTGCCTTCCCCAYTCACTCCACTTCCCACAGCTGCCGCCACCGGCTCAGGCCCTGGTGCCTCTCTGCCAGGCTCTGGGGAGCAGGGTGGGCAGGAGGAGGAAGAAGAAGAGGCAGCATCCAAAAGGTCTGAGGGGGCTGGTTCCCTGGATGGGGGGTCCGGGGTCAATGGCTGCTGGAGTGGAGGGCCTGCAGGAACTGCTGGGGAGAAGGGAGGCATGGGTGAGAGTAGAGATCCAAGATGATTCTCCAGCCCACGATTCTTAGCACTAACAATGAAGATGGTAGGGTAGGGTGGAARGGTCCCTGGTGCAGGGATGACCAGCACTGAATTCCAGGCCCCACTCTACCACCAATTCACTAGCCAGACCTGGGCCTCAGTTTCCCCATCTGAAATCAGAAAGTTGAACAAAGTGGTCTTAGGAAGCCGCACAACCCYGATACTCAACACTGATTTGCTAATGTTAAACAGAAGTCACCAGAAGGATGTGCTAGAATGTTCATTGAGCACTATTCATAATAGCATAAAACTGGAAACTATCCAGGTGTCCATCAAACAGAAGGATTGTGATATATTCATGCAGTGGAGTACTATGTAATGAAGAAAAAGAAAATACACCTATACACAACACCTTATAGACATGATGAATGTTGGTGAATGTTCATGAGATGAACAAAAGCAAGTCAGACACAGAAACCTGTGTACTGGTATGATCCACCCAAACCAGGTGAAACTAATTTATGATGAGAAAAGCCAAGATCAGAGTTACTCCAGAATATAGCTGATTGAACAGTTTCCCCAAAAAATTCATATCTGTATGGTCTTATTTGAAAATAGTCTTTGCAGATATAATTAGTTAAGATGAGGTCATGCTGGATTAGGGCGGGACTTATCCAATGACTGGTGACCTTATAAGAAGATCACGTGAGAAGACACAGAGACATGGGAGGCAACGTGATGTAAAGACAGGCAGAGACTGGAGACTGGAGTGATGAGTCTAGGGGCCAAGGACTGCCAGCAATAAACAGAAGAGAGACAGAGAACAGTTCTCCCTCTGCGCCTGCGTAAAGGAACCAACACCTGAATTTTGGACTTCTGACCTCTAGAGATGTGGGAAAATAAAATGCTACTGTTTTCAGCCACCCAATTTGTAGTCATTTGTTACAGTGGCCCTGGAACTAATACAGAAAGATGGTGACCAGGAGGGGGCCTAAGGCAGGCTCCTGGGGATCTGGTCACGTTTCCTAAGCTAAGTATGCTCAGATGGGAAGTTCACCAGGCTGCAGCCCATGTACCTTAGACTCTGTGTATGGAATACTCCAACACAAGAGAGATAATAAGCTGCAGAAATCTCTGAAACTCTGGTCGGAAGCTAGATCTGGAGTTAGGGCAGGAAGAGAAGAGTTCAGGACTGACCTTTGTTCTGTAGATCTCCAGGTGCTCCACTGGCCAGAGTAGGGGTTGGGGACACCACCACAGCATCCTGTGTCAGGCTTTGTGGCCTCTGCTTGCTCTTAGCAGCTTCAACAGCCTTGAGTTTTCTGGCATGCTTGTGGCCTTTATAATGTGCTTCAGCCTGGTTCTGGAGAGGGGAGGGCCTGGGGTCATAATTCCTTGCCTGGTCCACATGTCCCACCCATGACTGAAGCTGAGCAGAGGGACACGTCAAAGGGATGCAGGATTCAGGTCACACGAAGTGCACTCTTGTCATTACATCACAGCACATAGATGACCCTGATGTTTACAGAATGTTTTTCACACAGGAGCTCCAAGGCAAGTGTCCTCTACCTTCAAATTCTGACTCAACCACTTAAGAGCTGTTCATCTTTGAGCAAGTCACATCGTCTCTCTGAGCCTGAGTCTCCTCACCCATAAACTTTGTGATGATAATGCCAACCTCACAGGGCCTAGTACATACAGTTGCTGCTCAGTAAATGTTCATTATCAAGTTTATAGATGACAGCTGGATGTGATGGTACACACCTGTAATCCAAGCCACTTAGGAGACTGAGGTAGGAGGATCGAGAGTTGGAGGTTAGCAWGGGCAACTAGTGAGACCCTGTCTTAAATTTTTTTAAAAAGCGGGGAAATGTGTATCATACCATGCACGAGGCTCTGGGTTTGAACACTAGCACCCCAAAAAAAGTTTCTAGATACACGCATGAAGACAACAGGGTAGTCATCATATGTGGGGGTCATGTGCCCTGAAACATTCACTCCTTTGTTCATGTTTTCACCAAATGGCTGCTGAGCATTTGCTGAGCATTTGCTCTTTGTCAGGCACTGTGCCAGGGAGTAGCATGAGGAAGACATGGTCCCTCCCTCAGAGCAAGGTCTCTGTCCATCTCTTGGCAGGCCTCATATGACCTGATAGATTGGAGGGACCCTCAAATCTGGGCTGTCAGTGTCTTCTCTGCTTCAGCCAGGGATCCCTGCTTATTGCTCCCAGCCCACCTCCCTCAAAGGTGAGAAAGAGGCCTTCTCAGCGCCCCACAGACTCTTGCGTGACAGCAGTTCTGACATCCAACCTAAACCCCAGCCTTGCCTGGACAGGAGGTAAACCTTTCTGAGGAGGCCAGAATGAGGCCCCTGCTCTCCCCAGAGGTAGGTTATAGTAAAAAATATGCAGCCTTGGGGTTGGCTAGGCCTGGGTTCAAATCCCAGCTTTGCTATTTACCAGCTGTGTGGCCTCAGGCAAGTCACTTAACCTCTCTAGGCTCAATTTCCTCATCTGAAAAGTGTGGATGATAATAGTGCTTCTATTTCTTTCACAGCTCTTTCATTACAACCCGTCAAGATGATGGGCATGAACACATTCTATAAACTCTGAGGTGCTTTAACACCTCAGCTCCAGACCAGGAGCTTACAGGGAAGCCCCTGGGACCCAGAGTGGGTAAGGGCAGTCTTCTCTCTTGCAGAAGGATCCAGAACATAGGAAAGTGGCAAGGGGCGGGAATGGAATCCCAGTTGTCTTAGAGGTAGGCAGAAGAGGGTTATGGAAAGAGGCAGGAGAGAGGAGAGGATGGGACAGTTGAAGTATCAGAACTGTCTCTTCTGCATCCAGGGCTGGAAAATAAGGAGCACAGCCCCTGAGCTCTGGAAGGACCCCAGAAGGAAGCCCAGTCTCCAGCCCCCTCCTTGCCCAGCCCCCTCCCAGGAGTTCCCATGAATCCCTCTCACCGCTGAGTTGAACCTCAGGTGACAGATGTTACAGGAAATGAAGAGCTTCTTCTTCAGAGGGGAGGGGACCCCAAATGTATGGCTGATGACAGCTTTCTGGACTGGGTCCATCTGTGAGGGGGATGGGAGGGCACAGTAACTCTGGGGTTGATTCAGGAAGGACAGTACCAAATGCAGAAAACTAAAGACCACTGAGAAGTCAGCCTCTAGGAAGAACTTTCCTATCCTGTGGATGTTAGACATAGACAAGAGACAGCCTCTTCCCTGGCTGACTTACTTGTCAGCCTGGACTTGTTTGGAGGCAGGGGGATGGCCAGGGTAACCCAATGATTTTGAGAACTAGAACCATGGGCTAGTGAACATCTTGGCATCTCTTGTTGTCCCTTTGGTCTCTTGTTTTGTTGTTTTACAAGAATCACAACTATTGGGACAAAAAATTGGGTGCAGAAGGAGGCTGATTCATAGTGGGGTAGGGAGGGGGGAGCGTGGGAGGAATGAGCGACCTCTAGATAGGGCAGAGGGGTGGGAGAGGAAGGGAGGTGGCGTGGGGTTAGAAATGATGGAGGAATGTGATGATCATTATTATCCAAAATACACGTATGAAGACACGAGTTGGTGTGAATATACTTTGTATACAACCAGAGATATGAAAAATTGTACTCTACGTGTATAATACGAATTATAATGCATTCTGCTGTCATATATAAAATTTAAAAAAATAATTTAAAAAAAAGAAGAATTGGGGGCAGGAAGAGGTAGGGAAGGGACAAAGAATCCTCCTGTTGGGATTTCCCCTCCTYTAACCCAGCCTGTGTGCTCGGACCTGGGAAGATGAGCCCTACTTTTGTTTTGGCAGTTTGGGGGACTGAACCCAAGGGCACTCTACCACTGAGCTACATTCCTAACCCTTTTTATTTTTTATTTTGAGACAGGATCTTGCTAAGTTGCCCAGGCTGGCCATAAACTTGGGCTCCTCCTGCCTCAGCCTCCAGGAGACCCTTGGATTACAGGCATGCGCCAGCAGGGACTAGTCCTGTCTTATCAGTTCTACCTGCAACTAGGCCTAAGGCTCTGATAGCTTGTCAGGAGTCTGAAAACTATGGCCAGGAAGGTGGTGACTAGGGAGAGAAGCAACTGGAGGCCTGAGGGTTCCCAGAGCAGTCTCATTTCCTTGGAATATTAACTTAGGTGTTCTCTTTATTTTGCTTATTTTAAATAATTTTTTTCCTCTATTAAACCAAGCTTTTATGTTTCTTTTTCTCAGGGGCTTAGTTATTTGACCAAAAGCAGAAGTTCTCTGGTTTTGTCAAGAGGAACTTTCCAAACCTTCCCACAGGAAGAGCACAGAGGCTTTGAGAGAGCTAGGTGGGGATGAGACCTCAGAGGAAATGGCCTACAGGGCTCTCAGCAAGGACAAAAATGATTGTGCCGGCCCTTAAGAGTCAACGAGCAGGTCAGTGAGGTACAGTGAGGAGTCTGGTCCAGAGGCCTGTCTCCAAAAGTCCTTGATTCCTTAGGATCTCTGTACCACCCTGGAGAGCAGGAGGAAGGAGGCTCCTAAGGGTGACTGAGATGGAATTAGAACCGTTCAGATACGCAGGCATACACATTAATCACAATTACCCAGGCACAAAGAGTTGCTCACACACACACAGGACACCAACATACAAACTCCATCCACACACAACACACAAAGATCTACAAAGACACAAACTACAATAGAAAAGCACACTGACTACACAGAGACACGTGGCTTATCCACAGGTGCTGCACCAAAAACTCAAGGGAGACCTACCATCTYCGGGCAGTAGTGATGGCAAGATAGGGGTGACACCATCTTGTTCCCTAACCTCTACTGAGCCCAGGGGTCCCTATTCAGGGGGCTCCTAGCCACTGTAGGGGATGTTGCAGGAAAATGAGCTCCTGGTTAGACCCAGATGCTGAGGCTGGCCTCTGAGCCACCCTCCCTGCCCACCTCCCCAGCTGGCCGCACTGCACCCACCCGCCAACCCAACCCGTACCGTGCTGAAGTTGGGGAAGAGACTGAGCGGGGCGGTGCCATTGAAGTGGAAGGCGAGCAAGTGCTTGAAGTCCAGCGGGGGCTGCAGAGGCCGAGTGGGCAGGGGCAAGGAGGCCAGCAGGGGGCTGGGGGCACTGGAGGCTGGGCCTGCTGCAGGAGGAAGAAGGGCAGGGTCTGAAATGGGGAACCACAGGGCTCTTTCCTACCTCTGTAGCCAGAACAAAAGGCCGATGGTCTTGGGTGTGGAGCCAGGGCAGAAACTCCTGTTTCTTCACAAAGTAGCATCAGCCAAGCAGACAGAAATCATAGGCCCCATTGGTGGGCTCTCACAGGTGGGCAAGCAGAGGCAGGAAGTCCACAGCTGAAGGTTCCCAGCCCAGAAGGATGACCCTCCCACACTCATAGACAAAAGCAGCATAATGGTCCAAATGCACTCCCCAGGGAAGGTCAGTCAAGGCAGGGGACAGAAGAGATAGGGCTGGCCCCTGACATACATACCACCATGAAGACTGCAAAATGTGCTGGGTTTCCACTTTATTGCAAATGAAGCCCAAATTCAGGGGGCTTGGGAAAAGGTCAGCCCCCTTCCCTCTCACTCTCTAGCTGTCCCCTCCCTCTATCCATATCCCACACCATTCACAGGAAGGGCTAACAAAAGGGAATGGAAAATCCATCAGTATAAGGGATGTGTTCCTCAGCTCTGGTGAGGTCCCAACAATATTTCCCTGGAGGCAAAAAGTAAAAGAAAAACCCTAAGCATCCTGGGTCAGGCCAGAGGCCAGCCCTTAGGGGCAGCAGGTACAGCAGCACCACGGTCTGCAATCTTTGGTCTAAAAGGTCTGAGGCAAGGGCAAAGAGAGCTAGGGAATTTGAACAAGCAGATTTTAAGTAAGTTAGAAATAAATCCAGTCCAGGGGGATGGGGGGAGGATTATAAAAGAAAGAAATCTTTTTTAGACCCTGTCATTGCAAAACCAAAAGAAGTCCTTTTGATTTTTATGTGTTAACACTATGAGAGAATAGATTTATTTCACATTTGTAGATTTGTATGTCTATATACATGGTCACATACAGAAAGGCCCTCAGGCAGCCTACTGGCAGGGAGGGGAGAAAGGACACCACAATCTCCATGAACCATTGTGCCTTTGAACCATGAGCACATGCAGAGTATGCTGTGCTGTGTGTCAAAAAAGAACATGGTCTAAGGAGACTGAGGCCAACCTGAACAACATGGCAAAAACCTCCATCTCAAAAAAAAAAAAGTTTTTAATTTTTAAAAAAATCTGTAAAAACAAACACGGGGTTTGGGGGGTAGTTCAATAGTAGAGCAACTGCCTAGTGTGCATGAGGACCTGAGTTCCATCCCCAGCACCCCAAAAAGTAAGCACAGTCATCTGTTCTCCTGTCTTACCTGAAAAGAAGAAATACTGTTGAGTGTTGGGCTAGGAAACAAAGACCAATTCTTTCCCTCAATTTCCAAGACCGGGTTTTCCTTCCTCCAACCAAGAACCCCCAACTTTTCTAGGGCCAAACGTGGGTGGGGTCCAGAAAGGGAAAGGGTAAGTTACTTCTCACCAAATTCTGGAAAGGGAGGAGGTGGAAATGGGGGGTTAGGATGTCCTGACCCTATGTAGCTAGCGTCTCTGTCCACTTGCTCAGGCCCCTCTTCCCATGCAGCACCCAGGGTTAGGAGCTCAGCAGGAGTAGAGGGTTAGCTAGGTAGACCACAGTTAGTAGGTCAGCTTGGTTGCAGCATAGTCAAGTCTGGCTTGGCCCTTGGAGCATCCAGGGCTGCAGGCTGAAGGGGCAATGAGGAAGCCATCCTCAGGTGAGCTGGGATCCCAGGAGCCCCTCCCCCCATCCACTCTCTAAGAACTCCGCCGCCAGCGCAAAGTCAAACTCATGCAGCGGGGGCCCGTCCACGGCGATCTTCACCACGTGGCCTCCCCGGCCTTCCCCGGTCCCGCTCTGTCCCCACCATCGCAGCTCACGACTGCGGCCGACCTTGTCCAGGAGGCCGGCGCCCGCGGGCAGAGATAAGGCCAAAGCGGCCAGGGCAGCGAAGTCGGGAAAGAGCTCGTGCAGCTCCGAGTGCTCGCAAGCCAGCTTGGTGCACAGCGCCCGCGGGCTGAGCCGCCCCAGGCTGAACACCACGCGCTTGAAGAGAGCGAAGTCGCCCAGCGCGCGCTGGCKCACCACCACAGGCGCGAAGCCGCGCAGCAGCACCCGCAGCGCCCCCTCGCCGTGCGCACCCAACTCTTCCGGGGCCTGMGGATAGCGGCGGGGGTCAAAGATCGCGGCAAAGGCAGCCACGGCATCCAGCGAGGGCCCGGGATAGGAGTCCCGCAGCCCCCTCTGCATGGAGTCCAGAAAGGCTCCCCGCAGCCGCTCCAAGTCCCTGATCGCGGCCTCTGAGTAGCCGACCAGCTCCACGCTGCGGTAGGCGCAGCGCCCACCGCCCCGGTCGGGGTCTGAGAGTGCCAGTTCCCGCAGGAAGCCCTGGAGACGGGCTCCCCCTGAGCAGCGCTGGGCTTGGAGGGCAGCTGCTGCCGCCATCACCATGGGCTGCAACAAGGCCAGGTCCGGCTCTTCCGGCTGCAGGATGAGGGTGAGCTTCTGCACCGAGGGCAGAGCGTCCAGCAGCAGGTGGGTGAAGGCTACGAAGGTGAACTGGCGCAGGGCCAGAGCCAGGGCTGCAGCTGTCGGTGAGGCTAGGGCTGCGGCTTCCAGGGTGGACACCAGGCAAGGCCAGGCCTCTGCCACTGCTTCCACAACAGGCAACAGGGAGGCCCAGGGCACTGGCCTTGRCCCTGCCAAGTCAATTGCTGCAAGGTCCAGTGCTGCCCGGAGCTCAGGAACCATGTGAGAACTGGGGCCACCGTGCAGGCGGAATAGGGCATCCAGTATGCTCTCATATTCACCCAGGTAGGCAGGGGGTTCAGGATCTGTCCTGCCAGGGAGGCAGTGCAGCTCAGTGAGCAGTGGGCAGGTAGCCTGGAGCTGCAGGCTGACACTCCCTAGGCGGTCACTGGGGACGCTTGAGCTGAGCCAGGCTAGCTTGGGTGCAGATACTCCGAAGGCCTGCAGGATGTCCAAGAGCTGACTAGCAGTGGCCCTGCCCTCCTGTAGTTCCACACTGCCCAGGAAGGTGGTAGAAGGCTGGCCATCACATGGGGACACCGAAGTGGCAAACAGGGCTAGACTGTGGGATTCAGACCAGTCCCTGGTCTCGTCTAACACCAGCCCCACAAATGGGGATGCCTTCAGGCGCTGGCAGGCCTCTGTGTGCAAGACACTGGCAATGGCCACCTGGGACAATCAGGGAGAGAAAGGGAGGGAGGACAGTTAGGTTTGTCCTGAGGACAATTAGGCTTGTCCCGAGAGGGAGGTAGGCAATGCAGGGTAGTGGAAAGAGCACAGTTCTTGGAGTCAGACAGACTTAGGACTAATCTTGGCCTTGCCACACACTCACTGTGTGCTACCTTGGGAAAGTCCCTTCACCACTCTGAAATTCAGTCTTCTCAGCTGTATTACTTCGTCTCGTTAATATCTGCCCCCAGTCTTTATAAAGGGTTTTCATGATTTATAAATGTAAATTTTCATTATTGCTCTCATAAATTTAAAAGTTCTTTATGATCTATAAAACGCTCTAAGAAGGCTAGTTTTTTTTCCTTTTGTTTTTCTGCACATGGTCCCAGTCTACCTTATTACTGGGAGTCTCCTTCCACTGTTCATCTCAGAGATTAGCAATAGACACGTTCACTAGCAACTCCTGACTTTATACAGAGTGCCAGCTGGGTGCTGTTCGCCATCTTTCTATAAGATGATATGCAACTCCCCTACTCCCTAGCCAGCCCCCCAGGATTCACACAGCTGAACCTAGGACACAGCTGCAACTTGTAAGCCTCCAGGGGCCATGTGAGTATGTTTGAGCTTGAAGTGGGCCAGGGGCAAGCCAAAGGGAAAGGGGAAATGATGGCAAGCCCATGCCTTGCCCTGAGAGCATGGGGACTTCACTTTTTAGTAGAAGCCACAGATCTAGATCTTTACATTCATCTCTTGGATGTTAACACTTTTTTTTTTTTTTTTGAAAACAGGGTGAGCTGGATATAGTGACCCACGCCTATAATCCTAGTGATTTGGGAGGCAAAGACAGGAGGATATCAAATTCAAAGCCAGCCTGCCTCAGGAACTTAGCAAGGCCCTAAGCAATTTAGGGAGACCCTGTCTCAAAAGTAAATAAATAAATAAATAGGGTTAGAGATGTGGCTCAGTGGTCAAGTACCCCTGGGTTCAATCCCCAGTACCCCCACCCCCAAAAGTTGAAAACCAATAAAACCCATCTATGGGCCAATCAAGCCCCYAGGCTGCCAGGTTGCCTCCTCTGGCTAGCTAGTGAGAGGAGTGCCCTGTGTGCAAGGCCAGCCTGGCCTCTCACTCTTGTACCCCCTGCTGGCCCAGTGCCAGCCTGTGGTAGGCCCCCATTGAAGCTTCTAAAGTATGTAGACAGGAGTGAAGTGCCTGGCTGTTCCACAAGGGCCTAGCATGCTGGGGCTGCTCCCAAGTGGCTCAGTGTCTTCCCTCCCCACTCCCAGACCCTCTGACTGCCACCCACCTGCATGTCCCTCACTCTCCTGGGGCTGTAGTAATTGCCATGCTCTGTGCCTAGCAGCGCTTGGCACAGGTTGAATCTCTGCAGCTCGAGCAGGGCAGAGCAGCGGTCGTCGGGCACATCCTCCTTGGCCATGCAGTACACAGTGGTCAGCACCGCCACTTTGGCAGAGTCCACCTCTACCTTGACATCCCTGGAGGTGGGGGTGGCAGCCAGGCTGCTGTAGGCCCCACCTCCCTCAGCAGGGCCCTCGAAAGTGGGCTGGCCCTGGTTGACTGTCAGAGCCTGGCGGTGGGCCCCCGAGGTGACGTGGCGCAGCAGGGCGTGACGCTGGAAATTGTCAGTGCCCACGGTGAAGGCGTTCTCAGCTTTGCCGTGCTTGTTTCGTACCAGGGCCTGGCGACACTCGAGGCAAAACATCAGCTTCCGCTCATAGTCAAAGTCCAGCCAGGGAAACTCCTCCTTCCAGTGCTCATTGAAGTAACGCTTGCACTTCTTGTTGGAGTTGGAGGCCTCTCCTGCTGGCTTCTTCCCCGGGG